TTCATCCACAAATAAAACATTTCTTTTCTGAACCATAGTTGGAAAAGACTGAATTCAAAATAAACAAAACATTTATTAGTTATGAGTTATATACTCAGCTCTTCACAAAATATTTCTGATTTTTCGCATTCTATAATGTACAATTTTAGATTTTATATACCTGTATAAAGACTTCCGCAGCAGATTCCGATAGAGAAATCATGATCTATATTTAAGATTTAATGTATAATGCTTAAGATATCCATTAATTTTACTTATAATATACAATTCTGAAATTAATATCGTCCTTTAAAAACAAGGATAGCACATATCATCTTCGTAAACACTTAACATTCTAAAAAAAGAAAATATAATATCCAAATAACAGTTAAATAATTCAATTTGCTCATGCTGGTTTTCTTCAAACATTGTATTTTCTAGATGAGTATGAACTCGAATGAATAGAATCGGCAAACAACTGTTTAAATACCCAAGACATTTTATTCACACATTAAAGCACATATCTAATCCATATGCTTAAGAGAAAACATATCTAACACTCTACACATAAAGTAGTTCACTTATGCTAATGAAAAGAAATAGGTATTATTTAGAAAAATTTAGAAAATCATTTTGTACAAAAAAAAAAAAAAAAAAAAAAAATCCCTACCTACCCTATTTTTTTGGAGGTGTAACCGGAACCACACATATTTTTTTGTTTGGTCTTAATGCTGAGTTTCCAAATGCAAAATTGAGGATATTCGATATATTCCATACAAGTTGTCAATCATTTATTAGTGATTTATACAGAGGTTCATTTGCATATAAATGTTGATAACATTGTTTTACTGTCTTTATTAACTTGTAATACTAAATTTTATGAATTGACAAATTCATTCTTTTTAGAAAGTGCATATAATTTGGAAAAGAGACCATCAATCCACTGGGGGGTATCGCATGAAAGCAATGATTATAGAATATTGTAAGGCTGGAGGAGTTATAGTACAACAGGCAGGCAAGTAATGGTACTTTGTTCTGGAAATTTTTCGCCCCAGTTTTATTTTTCTCATTCTGCCCTCCTTACAAGTAGGTGAATTTAAAACGGGACAGATTCGAAGAAGGCAGCATATATCTTTTAAACACAAATGTGTCTGATCAAATTTGAAAAGGGCAAAATTGTTTTCAAGGGTGAAAGAGTGAATATTTTAAAAATTAGAATGGGGTGAAAATATCCAATAATACAGGTTATATGTATTAACACAGTACATATGCATTTCTCTTTTCTTTATAATGAAAATAATTTGTTCTGTAAAAGGACAAATTTTGTTCTGATTTGTATCAAATAAATAAATATGTGCCAGATTTATTATTTTGCAGGCACCTAAGTTACCATCAGTTGTGTGTCAAGCTGTGCAAAAATTCTATGTCATGTTACAGAATCTTTCTTAAATACAGGTATATGTCTGCTCATCTGGCAATCTTAGGACATCACTGGATGGTTTTGTTTAAAAAGATTACAGAGTTAACACACACTTCCAGCATGAAGACCAGCCAGTTGCCTCACCTGTCCTGACATTGTTAAAGGTAAATGGTCCTTTCAGAAAAGGATCTGACAATGCAAAGGCTTGCTAATCAATTAAAGATTTCTATTTACTAATAGGTAATTAATTTGAATTTCTGTAGCTTAAAAATTTAATGATATGAATTTAAAAAAAATATTTTAATCAAAATTATTTTTATTTCAGTACTTTGTGACCAGTGAAAAGACATGGCTTTAAATTACTGTATCAGAGATCAATCCAGGTTATAAATCTGAGGAAAACAATAAAGCATCCACTTCGAGCTACTTATATCACTGCCTTAATAAGATGTCTGCATGTGTAACTAACAAAGGACAGTGACCAGTTGTAGCTATGATATCAGAGGGCATCCTGAAAAACACTCATCACTAAGAATAGAAAACTTCAAATGACTTTTGTATCAATCCTTTTGAATTTCATCTGGCTTGGAATTTCAGTAGCCTTTAGCATCCTTCAAGCATTTCATGAAGTACATGTACCAATTTGCAGGCATAAAATGTTTGAAACAGATTGCTTGTCCCAAATAAAAAAAAAAATAATTTCTCTGCCAATTAACAGTGTCATAAGCAGTTGATTGATATCACAGTTCCACTGGCATAGTATTTGTGGTTGAATGGTGCCATTTTTAAGAAAACTTTTCACAAAAACCTGGAAAACATCAGATGGAAAGGAGCATCTACAAGAAAAACAGTTAACACTTTCTTGAATATTAACAATGATATATCATGCCCATTTACATCCTTTATATAAACTAATTAACCTAATCATAGAGAATTATGTACGAATTTGTCCTTTTGTGTATTTATAGTGTATTAAATTGATTTTACTAATTTATAAATATTTATGTTTTTCACAGTCATTAACATTTACAAATAGAAGTACATATAACATAAAAATATTACATGTTTAGTACGATAACGTGAAATTGTTATACCACAAAAACCATCGCTAACCTCACCTCGGTCAGCAATGGTTTTTAAGGGGTAAGAATTTTACATCACCCAAAATAAACAAGTAATATTTTTCTTGTCATAAAATGCATTTTAAAGAAAACATCAAGGTGAAACGAATATGCAAACTTTCTGCACAGTTAACATTTTTTATTACTGTATATACTGTTACCCGTAGTCATGCATTTTCAACCATTTGGGATGTAATGTTTGGCATACAGTATGGTAATAGTACTTGTTAACAAATGTTTTTTAAACCAATCAAATTTGACTATTTAACATGAAAGTGTATCATAACAAATTTATCTAGCATAATGGTGCTGTAAGTAACCATGGAATGTGAGCTTGTGTGAACTTGATCCTGAATTATTAAGTTTTGATATTGTAAAAAAGAATTGTGCAGCCTAAACTTTAACTTCTACCTGATTTAAATGGAGTTCCGTCATTAACAGGTTGGAAGTTGTCACACTCTTCATGAGTATAATAACTGGGGGATCTGCTTCATTTGCAGATACATGGATAACACATTCACTCAAAGCACTGTCCCTTTTTCAGTACCTTGTGCAGCCCTGTAATATATAATGACAAATGGAGAAAAATGCCTATTTCAAGAAAAAAAGTCTGTCTCATAATTGTAGGAGTATTGGCAAAGGGGTTTGTATGTGTAAATGAAAAAAATGTCTTCTTCTTTGTAGAATAAAAAATGATTATTTTTTGAGTGTGTGTGACCATTTTTATTTCCGAATAGACAGGGCAGCTTATAGCCTACAGAATGAGCTGACCATTTTTGTTTATTGTAGTAATTAAAAAAAAAAAGAATGTGTTTTCTACAAAGATCATATGTTATAGACGTGGTATTCAATTTTGTATTCCCATGGTCGATGCATTTGGGTACATCTATTTTTTTATTTGCTTTCAATGACATCGCATTCAATATCCCAAACTCATGTATACCTGTCCAATACTCCAAATTATACCACTGTAAGCTAAGTCAATGCTTTAAATTTATGAAACCAATCTGTAGATAAGCGTACCTTTTGAATACAGGCGATTTTAGCATAAAAACGATTTAATTTTCCCTTTTTGCTTAAGTATGTTGGCTAATCTTGGCCCCCTCGGAATAGCTTGTGTTTGCGTTATGTAATGAAAAAATAAAGCAATTAAACGCTATTTACCTGCATCTATCAATCCACTTTCTCCTCTTCTTTGCAACAATCGGGGATCAAAACAAACTACAAGTTTAATAATTCCACTGCGATGCTTACAACTTAAGTAATCCATTGTCTCCAAGAACGCTCAGGTACCCGGGAGTTATAAAACGAAAGTGAAAGTCAACGAGACTTACAGACCCTTTGAATTTTCCTATAGTATACATGATAGATAAGTGTAATAAATATAATTTGTGAGCAAAACAAACAACAAATTCTACTGGGGTGCTTAAAACTAAATGCGAAGCTGTAATCCATTGTCTGCAAGAATGGTAAGTTATAAAACGAAAGTGAAAGTAAATGAGACTTAAAGCTATAGTCTTGGGAGCAGTTGTTATTTCATAAATAGTTTGAATAGGTGATATCACCTATTCAAATAAGTGATATCACCTATTCAAAATGATTAAGTGATATCACCTATTCGAATAAGTGATATCACCTATTCGAATAGGTGATATCACCTATTTGATTTGAATAGGTGATATCACCTATTCGAATAAGTGATATCACCTATTCAAAAGGAATAAGTGATATCACCTATTTGAATGGGTGATATCACCTATTCAAATAGGTGATATCACCTATTCGAATAAGTGATATCACCTATTCGAATAGGTGATATCACCAATTCAAATCGAATAGGTGATATCACCTATTCGAATAGGTGATATCACTTATTCGAATAGGTGATATCACCTATTCGAATAGGTGATATCACCTATTCAGAAGCTGAATAGGTGATATCACTTATTCGAATAGGTGATATCACCAATTGAATAGGTGATATCACCTATTCGAATTGGTGATATCACTTTTTGGCAGTAAATACCAAAACGGCGCCTCATAGGCCACATCTAACTTTGGGAAAATCTGTCGAAAAAACGGCATTTTTTAACGTTTTTATGAAACCGTCGCATTTTCCAACCGTCGCACGTGTTTAATGGCGCATTATATAACGATATAAGTTATGTATGGAAAAGAAGGATGTTGTCCTCTAATATTTAAGGTATAGTACTCTTCTTGAACCGAAACTTTATTTTTGTGAAAAACACAGGGCCAAATATGATGGTTCGTGGCTTTAGCTCTTTCTGAATCCTCCAACATTTTTTTTTTTTTTTTGAAGTGGATAGATCCTCCCCCACCTCCCTTTTGAAAAAAAAATCTTCGTTCTGCCATATAAAGGAGTGATATGAAATCATCAACAACACAAGTTACAGAAAAAAAATAAAATTAACAAGATACTGATATTTGAGATACCAAACAAACTTAACGTAAATACTAACCTTGGTGAGTGTTCCTTTAGATGCTTGACTAAAGACTGGACAAAAAAGGATCCCTCCCTCTCATCCCTCATAGACATATACCCAGACATGGTGGAGTGTGCAATCAGAAAATCCGCCTCAGCTGACGCAAGATCCAGCTGAGGCATTCCACCAAGTGAGGACACAGGCTGGAACCCAAGGTTACTTGGAGGGCTTCCAGTGGCCATGTTCAGGGATGGATGCCTCCTTTGAATAGAAGAAAAGTAGGAAAGAAAGGGATTAAGGTTACTCATCTGGGATGGTGAAGGCATCCTGAGTGTTGGACCAGGTTCAGAGACCTCAGATGCTTCTGTCCCATTTGGAGGTAATCTGATAATGTCAGACTCTACTGGGGTGGCTATAGGTGTTCTATGCCAAACTGTCAAAGAAAAACAAGGAATTTATACAGTCAAACCATGTTGTTTCTAACTTAATGGGACCGAAAAAACAAAAACTTTGAGATACATGCATAATTATGTACGGATTTATGATATCGAGGTTAAAATACACAGTGTTGGGACATCCATCTCATTCTGAAAATGCAGGGAATTTAAGATATCATTAATGTTGAAGATATCAATTTCAATAGCTGCAATAATGTAGCCCTCTCCGATTTTTTTTTATCTGATATTTTCTGGAGAGGCAATAATGTAGCCCTCTCCGATTTTTTTTTTATCTGATATTTTCTGGAGAGGGCTACAATTCCACAGCATCTCTGTAATGAGTGCGGGACGGTTCACCCCTAAAGACCATTCGCGCTGAGACGTTTCGCCCTCAGACGGTTCGCGCCGAAGATCAATTAAATTAATTATGTGGCAATTATCACTTGTTAACAGCAATTATTAAATTCTTAATAACTTTTGCATTGTGTTATTTCAATCCAATCCATTGGTTCAATCAATAAAACCAATTTATATGGGATAAACTAAAGACTCAATTGACTTACTAAAGACTTGACATACTGAAGACCTGATTGAGATAATTTTGCCTGTATGGGGGTAATATTGATAACAGATGATGCTTACCAAAATACACTTTTAGAGAATAAAAACTGAGAATTTATCTCTATATCATGCTATATACCCCCCCCCCCCCCAGCCCATAACCATACTAAAAAAAAATTTAAAGAAATTGTCAGACCTGATTTTTTTTCTATGAATTCCTGTTACTTAAAAAAAAGTAATTTCTAAATGACCTGATATTTTTATATGACGTGAGACAACAGCAACTCGTGATTATTTTAATGACATGATGAATTTTAAAAAATGATCTATTTTGGTATAACAGACATAGAAATAAATTAAGGTATGTCACTTGTGAAATTAGTTATATTAAAGATTTTTTGGAGAAGTATATTTTTGATAAGTACTTATATAGCATTACTCAAAATCGCAAAGAAAACTGGAGTTAGTGTGCATCCTATAGAGCAACGGTAAAATGAACTTGACCTTTTTGCACTTTAATTGTAACTCTTGGGTTACTCACTCTAACCTTTATCATATTTTACCAGATGTAATCATGGCATTAATTATAATCTTATTTTACGTAAAATAGTTTGAATAATATTTATTAATAATATTAATATTGGATCTTCGCATATGTAACCACTAGTTCTCATTAACAGATTAACGCCCGTCTCATAATTCAATTCTCCTCTTTATCTTGACAAGGAGAGTCTCTAAATTATATAGTTATAACACCTTAAGTACAAAACTGAATCCGATAATTATGTTTGCTGAATAAACATAATAATTATATCTGCACATGGATAATTATACATTTAATTATGGTATAAGCCTATTTTCAACAATTTAAACATGAAAGTTTTTTTTAGTAACTTTAGAACGTTTTTTTAATAAAGTCAATATTAACCTTATATATAAATATTTATCTTAAAACATCGTAATATATCGTTATAGACAATGTAGATTAAATTCGGCGCGAAACGTCTTAGCGCGAAAGGTCTTTGAGGGCGAATGGTCTCGGCGCGAAACATCAAAAGGGGCGATACGTCCCGTTACCTCTGTAATGGTGCAAATATATTTTTTAAATACGGGCGACTGCAGGCAAAATAAATTGTTTTTACATTCAACTTACTTCTAAAAAGGCGAAAATTTTATTCACTGTCAACAACATAGCCCGTTAAACGCGAAAACCAGATAAAATAAATCTGCTTTTTTACCAGTCGCTCTCATTAGAAGCCATGACAGTTCTCGCGTGATGCACTGAGACTTGCGCTAGAAAATTATAAATTACTTTGTAAAGTAGATTTTCGGGGTTACTAAATGATTGTGATGTATGGCATCACTAAATATTGATAAATAAAACGATTCCATGTGACATTTTTTCGTAAACAGCGATATTTATGCCTAAAATAAGGTAATTCCTACAGAGATCCGCTCCCTAGAGATCCCTAGTCTCATTGGCTGTCCCAAAATAAAATCGATCAAGGTCAGTAAACATGGCGGATAAATTCAAGTTGTGATGTTGACATACATGAAAAATAACCGATATATAGATTGTTCTGTGTATGTTTGGATTGATTTATGTTTTGCTTAACTACATTTTTGGAGTTCAGGTAAGAAATGTGAATTAAATAGCCATTTACTGATCATTTAAGCCGAAATCCGCACCATTACGGAGATCTTAAGGAGTTGTAGCCCTCTCTCTCTCCCCCCCCCCCCCCCCCAAAAAAAAAAGGGAGAGGGCTACATTATTGCAGCTACAATTTCAACTGTACATGAGAACAAATGCCAAATGTTTTTGGTAATTACTTTTTGTGTCCTATAAGTATGGATTAAATAAAGATTTAAGGTTTGAACACAGAACTTTTTAACTTTTCTTGCTGAATGTAGTTGAGTATAATTACCATTTTGAATCTGATATCCTTGACACGCCTGTAAAATGAAAAATTTTGGTTTTCCTGCCAGTGACTGGCACTTATCAGCACGAAACAGCGAGGTCATGCTCGTAATGTTGATGCCTCCACCACAACTCCCAAACACAGCATCTGGCTTTCCATGACTCAAGACGCAGACAACCAAGGCCCCATTATCCTGATGGTTCCTATTTCTTACTTCTTCCAGAATTTGCAACATTCCTTCACGGCTCTGGTTGTTATGTACCAGGACATTAAAACCATAACTCTTGAAAAGCCAATCTAGTTTGTCTGAAATTATTATGAAATACATGTACATGTATTCATTTGTACAAGATTTATGATATCTCATAATACAAAGGAAAATGGTTAACAAACCATGTTAGCAGAATTTTTAGCGAGGATTCAAATTTGGCATAATTAGTGAGGGTTTTGAGATCTCTTAAATTGAATATCGTTAACAATTTATAAAGTATCAGTAGTTATAGCTATCTTTCTTGACATTATTAAATCGCTAAAATTGCTTCTCGCTAAAAATAAATACCAGTTTTGGGTGATAAATCGCTAATATTGCGTCTGGCTAAAAATTCCACTTATACATGAACGGTATTAGGCATATCAATAATAGGGCATATCTGTGTGTGAAAATATCCTGCTTGTTGTTGCTTCTACATGTAAATGCTCTCACCTCTGTCTACTTCTGTTCCTGTACGTGTTTGCATGTTTTCATCTGCAAAGTCCTTGTTATTGATAATGACGCATATCCCTAAAAACACACAATTCTTATTCTTATTTCAATCTAAAAGAATGATTTAATTCTAATTGCAAAAATTCTCGTAAATGTTTTATACTTATATTTGGCAGAAATTAATTTTTGAACAAGTTAGTAAAGATTTAATTTAGCACCTTTCTTAATGTTCTTATTTATGTGCATAAATGTATGCGCAAGACATTTAGTGTTATACTTGAATTAGGGGAATTTGCTTTCTGCCCAAGGCACAAAAAAGAATACACAGTCAAATGTTATACGTTTACAGTAATCGTAAACATGCATTTCACAAGACTAGCTTTATAACCTGGATGGCGTCCTCTGTCGTAAGCTCCCAGTCTTGAAGATCCTAAGGTGGAGAATCCACTTGGAGAACCATCTGGACTCAATGTTGTTTGTGGATTTTCACTGCCTTCCATTTCATTTGGTAGATCATTCTTATCAGCAATGTCTTCCTCACCAACCTCCTGTACAGGGATTTTATCTGGGGTACACCCTGTAGCTCCTTCATTTACAATACCTGTAACAAGAAAAACATGTATGTACATTGCAGAGACTAATGATCAGTATTGTACCATGTTCGGCTTCTAACCACATTACCAGTGACTGATACATAAATTTTTATGTACATAATTAATAGGAGGAATGCATACTATTTTCATGATTTTTTGGGGGTGGGGTGGGGGTATGGGGTTAAAATATGAATTTAGATTGTTCAACAATTTTAAAGGTCATATGAATTGAGATTGTTCAACAATTTTAAAGGTTTTCATCTTTCAATAGAATGGCAAGTAAATTATACAGCTATAATCTACAAATGTATAAACCAAGGAAATGTTTCTACCTTTGTTAAAGTCATCCAAAATTGTTTGTACTTCTTCATCTTTATAAACAGTTTTCAGACAGTGAAAAAGTTCACTGTCTGAAACTTTTTCCTCCAGCAAATCTAAAGCATCCCAAACATCTGTCACATGATCTAATGCTCTCTTCCCAACTCCAAACCTTGATAACTGCTCCTTTAGTTTTTGGAATTCAACCTTTCCCGTTTCTTCACCAACTTTAAAAAGCAGCATTCTAGAATAAGGAAGACAGTTGTTAAAATTATCAATTCTATTTCTAAAAAAAATGAACAATACATAATTTATGCTATAATCTTACAAAAGCAACTACAATGATCAAGGAATATTAAGGACGCAGAAATGTATGACTGTGCAGTGGGGGGAGGGGGGGGGGTGTTGTCAGGATTTTCAGTTTCTGTTGGAAGGGTGGGGGCACAAACTTAATTAAATATTCTTTATTGCATAATACACCCATATGGGTCAAGCAATACAATTCATAATAAGAAAAAAAACAAAGAACACTTAATGTATATATACAATAGGCGCAATTTAAGTAATTTACTTTTATTATATGTTACACCAATGTGGACCTTTTATTTCTTAATTCTAATGATTGTTTTATAAAAGTGAAAACAGCCGTTATAACTTCAATTGTTGGGCTAAGTATATATTCAAGTTTCTGTATGGGTGATTTGAGATAGAATGAGGAACAATTTTCTCGCATAATCACCAGTGTGAGATTGACTTGTCCGGTGTGAGACAGCAGTGTGAGATTTTTCTGTCTTACACTGTGTATTACTAACGTAAACATTCCGTCTTTATATAAAGAAATTGTAACAATGTTAAAAAAATATTACATATACTTAAAATGTTGTCATTTAACTTATTAAGATAAACTTATTTTCATTCAAAATATTGTCGTATTTTCACTTTTTAAATGGCACTATTTTTAGATCGCGGAAGGATTCTTCTTGAATGAATGTGTACGCTATCGGATAGATAAGTTTTTTTATTCCCAGTTTTTATCTATCTAATTAATTTACATGGACTGAAATTCATTTTATCAGTTTACACTATGTGTAAACCATTTTCAGGTACGCTCTCTCAGATGGTGTATTTAGATTTTTAATTAGATGGAAAATTAAAAGAATATATTTTTAGCCCTATTATGGCGACATCATTGAAGGCCGTTATTTTTGGATAAAATAATGCGAGAAAAATAATCATTCATTACATACTCGTGTGGGAATAGTGAAATTCCACCTCGGGGCCAAGTTTCACGGTCTAGGACTCGGCAAAGCCTCGTCCTAGACCGTGAATCTTGTCCCCTTGGTGGAATTTCACTATCCCACACTCGTAGTAATGAATGATTCTATTAATCTAACATGGTTTTTATAAGTATATTCCTTGCTTGTATATTCAAATTACATTGTAAAAAGAAATGAAATTCATCATCAATAGCATTACATGAAGTGCATAATCTTTGTTGTCGAGGTATTTTCTTATGTCTACCAGTTTCAATCAGTAGGCAGTGGTCACTTATTCGAAACTTGGTTAGTAATTGTCTATTCTTGAAAAAATTTTCAAGCATAAGATATTCTTCCATATTAAGATTGTGTTTTATTTTACTGTACAAATACAGTTTGGAGTTAATGACAACAGAAACTCACAATACAATAAATGAGTTTTAATACACGTTTTATAAACTCGTTTTTGCGAGGACGTACTGATGATGCCCCCACCCCCTTCTATAGGTGCATGTTGCGTGTACGTGTGCGCATAAGTGCATGTTCCTTGCTAACCATGCGACCATGGAATTAATACATGCATATAAATTTTATAGTGTTAATCTGTACGTGTATACGGCGTATAGCGATGTAAATGATTATATGTCCTCATAAATATCAGCTGTATCATGATCAGTACAAAAGATGGAAATTTTTTTTTTTGATAAACGTAAAAATTACCTTGATACGTATACGTACCTAAGTACAAGTCAATGTGTTGGCCTTTACCTTCAAAATATTACATCATTCCTACTTTTTAAATGACCGAAATAACAAGACAAATATAGTCATAAACGATTAAAACTAAACAATGTAGTGTACTTTCGTTTTCGTATTTCCTGGTATTTTTTTAAACATGTTTAAGCGATAAAAATAAGTTGGGTTTTCCCATGAACAGCTGATGAATCACCTTTTTTCTAATAATAAATTTCTATTGGAAGTATCAGCTGCAACCACGCTGAGATGATTTCGACCTCCGTTTAATATTCTAACAATATCGTTTCTCTGCATCAGTGTAAATGCATCCAATAAAAACGAGAAGTCCCCGCCCTTGCACTGGATCACCATTTTCTCTTCTAGTGCTAAAAATAATTCCAGGCTGTTCTTCATTTCTTGTCTCTTTCTGTTGCTGATGAAGTCTTTGGAGAGAAAAGACAGACTTCTAAAATCTTCCCTTCCTATCTTCTCTCCAATTTCTGCTAAGACACAGCGTTCGCCAACACACTCATCCATCATGCACCTATCACGGTCGATTGTGATTTGTACGATGTGTGATGTAAACAACATTAGGCTATACAGTTTATTTCAGTCTGTTGTGCAATACTTGAAACGGAAGCAAATTTAGAACAAGTTGATGGGGTTTGTTCCGGAAATGTAAAAAGATATTGAGTTTTTTTTTTTTTACATATCAGTATATTGCATTAATATTGAAGTTTTTTAAAAATATAAATATTGATACCTATTCCATCGGGAGCAAGCCCCTATTCATGTAGCTGTGATCGATATAGAGAGAGGGGATTTGGGGACAGAGATCTCATCAGGGAAGTGTATGCTATTAATAAATTTAATATGTTAGTATGAATATATCCCTATAATCTCTTAAAATCACGGGCGTAGTTAGTATGTATAGGTCCCTGATAAAATCAATGAAAATTGTACATAATCTCTGCATGTGTAAATAGTTATTGATGATGAGGAATTTCAACTCCTTTAAATATAGTATATATTTAACTACAACACCAGCATATATCATGTATATATTATGTATATCTTACATATGCCCATGTACTTGTACGTACTTACTATATTTTGTTCCAACTTGAAAAAAAGGTATTTGAAATCTTAATTGTGAAAAGTGCTAGAAACGTTAAAAATTCAAATTAAAAAAATGAGTCTGAAGTTTCCCACATTACCTTAATTTGATCTTTTTTTTTCTTTTGCAAGAAACCGTCCCAGTATGTTGTAGCCCTCCCCCCCCCCCCCCCCCGGCCACTTTTAATGGGAAAAAATCCTTTACCAGCTGCGATAAATATTAGATAAAACTGATTAAAATTACTTATATTTCATTTGGCTAAAAGATTCTGGAAGGGAGTTCCAGAGATTAGTCCATAAATGTTGCTTTTTGTAAGATAACAGGTTTTGTGAATGAAAGTAAGGCCTAATACACATGTTTGTTCGTGAATACAACATTGAATTCGAACGCATTCTTCCGCAAGTGTCTTTATAGAAAAAAACTGTTTTGATTTTATACTGGAGGAGTTTTTGTTTTTTGTAATTATTGCTGACGAACCGTAATACTCTATCCTGATTTTTGTTCCGTTTCGCTTGTGTCTCATTCGATCGCCATAGAAGCAATATACAAAATATTGAAATCTTATAACTATTATTAGACAGAACAAAGTATGATTATTAATTTGCCTATAACCTTATTAGATGAACTCAGTTCTTTTAAATTTGGTTGCAGTGGCATGATTTTCTCCACACTTACAACGCAGATTTCAGATTGTAAAATGTCAAACTGGCAAAGGACAGAAAGTTTTGACCGTTATAAAGTGTGCGTTGTCAATAGAAACTGGGCACGTATATACAGATTATTATAAGCTGATTTAGGCCATCGTTGAAAAACTGTCCTAGGAGCTTGTGATGAATTTTAATAAATAAAATTTGTTACCATTTCAATATCATATCTCTACACTTCATTTTGTTAATTAATATCTACACGAGTTTATAAAAATACCAATAAATCATTACAATTTTCAATTCTAATTCTTGATGCAACTATTAATTGATCTTTTCATATTTGGATTCTGGGGTGAGACATCTGAGTTCAATGAAATCGTCGTAGCAGTGAAACACAGCCTCCAGACCTTGCAATGGACATCAATTTTAATCTTAAAAAGTGAAGTCCCAAACGTATATATATATATGTAGTTTCACTTTAATTTATCAAACATTAATACAACCACTGTAATTCATGAGATCCAATTAATTCATTAATTTTATAATAATTATAATAACGTCAAAGCGGCCAGTCTACTTCTTAGCATGTAGGTATAAAAATGGGACAAAGCTATGCACCTTTCAAGTCTTCAGGCAAACCAAAATAATTCCATATAAAGTTATAATATAACAAATCACTTCTCCGTAGAAACTCAGTTTATTAACAAAATGGAAAATGTTATTAAGCACTGCTAAGGCGGAATTTCCCAATTTCAAAACGCATTTATAATTATTCTCAAAGAGTATCACAGTTATCATTCCGAACGTTTTATAATACTCTCAGTCAAACTTAACCCGCACTGTTCCCTTGATCTCCTTTCTGCACATGGGGCACTTTCTGAGTGCAGGGGAGCACTGGCCACAACTGACCAAGTGACCACAAGGAAGAAAAACAATGGAGACTTTCTCTATACAACACATTTTGCATAGTGTTCGTTCTCTTAAGTCTTCGTTTCTTTCTTTGAGCCTTTCCATATCTGATAAAAAAAAAAACAGCGTGCTTGGTATACTTTACACGTACTTATCACAAACAGCGATATAAAATTATGTCTCTGTCACAAATTAATTTTGGTAATTCTCAAGGAAAGTCATTCTAAACAAAACATACCTCCTGTAAGACATCCGTTTCCTGTTTCCGGTTCCTGGCTATTGGATGAGTCGGAGTCTGCGCTGTCCTGTTCTATCTCTGTCAGAACGTCAACAATATCCTCTGCCGTCATTGTCTGCCATGCTGAAAGAGAAACACTGTCACATGAAGCAATTGTGATTTCACATTTGAACGAAAGCTTAGATTTTACAACAATATTCCTTTTTTTTTTTCATGGACAGGTCCAGCATGTGGACGTCCGGATACCAGTCAGGATTTACAATGATATTATCATAGAAAATAATCTGAAAATGACTTTGGGATACCCTATTCAGCCAAATTGGACCCGTCCTAAAGTCTGAGGAAAAAGATTAGGTATACGAATTGAAGTCCACACCTCTTAAAACTGAAATATGTTAATCAAATTTAACTGTTTCCCATTTAGTCACTAGAATTTAGTTGTTTATCTATGCATTAAAGAGCTTTAACCTAAAAACTGGGAAACAGAAAAATTCAATCAGAATCAAGAGATCTTACTTTTCGTTTGAAGAACAACATCTATTGCTCGTTTGACTTGTTTGGGTAGGAATCCCATGTTTAGCACGGCTTGGGCAGCATCCGTTAATAGTGGATTTTTCTCCAATGTTTTCTCGGGGTATTCCTCAGCAGTCTTAGGGTTACTGGGTTTGACATCTGTGAAATGTATCAAGTCGGGTTTTTAAATATATAAATTTTTTTTTCAAAATCAAAATTTCATTATAATAAGCTTTTATAAGCTCAGCTATACGTATATTTAATGAATATGAAATTTTACGTTTTATAATGAGCTATACATGTACCTGAAACGTCTTCTGCAACTCTGGAGGGTATTGCAAGTGGTACATTCGGTTGATTTATTATCTGTTACAAAAACAAAACACAATATTTTCATAATATTCCTTAGCCTATAAGTATAACTGTGTTTGTTCGACATAATTGTCTTTGCTGCATGATTTGTAAATTCAAAATGAACAAAATTCTATATGCACGAACCTTACATTATTTGAGATTATATATATATATATGTAATATTGATACCCACCTCTTGCTCCTGTTCTCTCTCCTGCACAGCACGTTCTACGTCATCCAAGAATTGAGGATTCCTCATCAGTCGTACGTAAGCACATCTAGGAGACCATCGCGCATGCTCGACCCAGGGGTCATCTTCTGCCGCCCAATTGCGGACCCCAATTCCACAACAAAAGCAGCGAACCCAATCACTGAATGCTGAAATTGAAAAAAAATATGATAACAGGAGACCAAAATTTTTAAAATAAAGTTTATATGATGACACCTGAATTTCAAATATTGGTGATCTGAAGAAGAAAACCTCATTACAGGAAGCAAAAGGACAACAAAGTTGGTGACTTGAACACGAATTTTGAAAGCCCACTTACAAGTATAGAAAAATCCAGCATTAGCCATTTGGTGACTGGTTTGGGTCAAATGAGCGGGCCAATGCTTGAAAGAGTCTAGTCGGCTTTGTTCGTCGGCATATTCTGGATATTTGCACTCTGTGCCTAAAGAACCAGAGGGTACATTTGCACCTAAAGACACATTGAACCCTGACGACACATTAAAGCCTGGAGACACATTAAAGTCTTCTCTGAGTTCTGAAAGTTTTGAAGCAATAAGACTAGGAGTCCGTTGAGGGGTGATGGGGATCCGACATGGGGTAATAGGAATCTGTTGTGGGGTGTTAGGGGTCCATTGTGGGGGCTTGTAATCGGCAAATAACATATTGTCACTAACAGAATCAGTTTCTGACAGGGATGCAAGAGAACATGATTCTGAAGAAGGTCTGCTACAAGGATTCGATGAAATTGATGATAAAAAATCCGTGGAAATTGATGACAAATGTGAGGAAGTCGATGACACAACTGATGAAGTTTGAGTTTCTCCGTCATGTTCTAAATCGTCTTCACAAATTGATAAGTCTGATGTAAAAATTGATGACAGATGACTGCTCGTTTCATCATCGCCTCTAGATGACGCACTATAGCGACTGATATTCGAATCTAGTCTGAGTGCGAAATATTCGGAATTGGACCGACAGTCATCGTCTTCTGACACTTGCACTGCCGTTCCCTCACTGAGAGATTGGGGTTCAGGGACCTGGAAGGCCGGGGGAGGGACCGAGACCTGCTGAGGGCGGGACCTCATCCCCGTATTATCTTTACGATCCATTAAAATCTACAAAAAGTATGATATATTAAACATAGGGCTGTGTATCCTCCGAATATACATGTATCATGATATAATTTACCTCTGGCTTTTACATGCGAATTGGTTAGAAAAAAAAATATTTAAAAAAGTCTATATACGATATTTTTATATCGTATAATCTATGTCACAATGACACGTCAAAAAAATTTAAAATATATATATATATATATATATATATATATATATATATATATATATATATATATATATATATATATATATACATTTAAAATTTGTATAATTTTAAGGCAATTTTGAAGGTATTTTTATAGAAAGTTTCACTGTATACATGATATAAGAAATGTTTTAATAGCTACATAAGACGTATAACTTAGGTAGCTTTAAATTCATTCTTAAATTTTTTTTTCTTCTACTTTGTTGTTTTTAAGGAAGGAAACTATATTATAGAATATTATTTTTTCATAAAATTATATCCAATAATTTTTCGTAGATTCCAAAACCAAGATTGTAACAAAATAAAGATTAATCTTTCTAACTTACTAATTTGACTTACAACAACGTTAACATGCTCTTATTTAATTATGAAAACATGAAGATTTATATATAAATCGGGAATGTTATCAAAAAACATCGATAGGACTTGAATATCAAGTGATGTATCAAATCGACCCCCTCTGCATCACGAAACACCGATTTATTGGTGCAATGCTACACTACATAGACTCGATCTACACAAAAACGCATATATATCATATAGATTACAATCGCCTTGCATTCATTATGAAGTGACATTTTAAACCAAAATAATAATAATACTAATACGGATTTTATATCATGTGTAAATTAAAAAAAGTATCAATATGCCAATTTATTTTGCATTTCTTTTAAAAATGTCTTAGTACGTTAAGCCGGTATGTGCCTCAGGTTTCTTCGATTTTTGTTAGACAATAACTTGTATATATGTATCGTTCTTTGCAAACATGCATACAATGGTTACCAGTAAAAAATTTAATAACAATAACTTTGTCGGCTGTATGAAATTTCATCAAAAAGATCTACAAAGTGGAATTACCTAAAACCCACACAAAAATGTATGGATTTTTCTTCCTTAAAAATTCAGGGCTTGAATTAATTTTGAATAACGAACAAAAATATCACTGCAGCAGTCATAATAATTCTGACTGGTAGCAAGATTCAGTTTCACTGATTAGGAAATAATATTAATGAGCTTTAATTATATCACATAATTAAATTCCTTTTAAATAACATTACTTACTCATAGGGAATTATTGTAATTTCGATGCAGCCGTAAGCCTTAACATAAATGATGGCAAAAATTAAATTCAACTTTTTAAACCAGTTTATACAACACTTCTCTTAATATGGAACTAGATTTACTAACGAACATAATGTTGGCAAAATTGTAGAAAGTTCTACAAGTTCATTTAGTACAATGAGAATGTGTACACAAACGTAGATCGATTTTAAAGGATTCTAAATCTCACAATTTAAAATTTATTAAGCAGTTCATTTTCAGAAATATATAATTATTTACCAATTAAATAAAAACATAGTCTGTATACTTACCGATTCTTTCGTTGCTTCGTGTACAATACTTTGGTGCTAACGATAAACAATTCTAAATAGGACGCATTACGGTGTTTCTAAAAATAGCTTCGGGTTTTTACGGTACTTACCTATTCGTCCTACATATTTCAGATGAACTGCCTGATAACAGTGATGATGAGACCGAAAATGCTTAACGTTTTCTTCAATAAAATCTATATTTTATATGGCATCAATATTCAGTGTTCAAGAACATGAAATCTTACATACAATGTAACAAAAACAAGTTAAAAATAACATTTTGCTATAAATAGTTTCGTGTATTTTCCAGTGAGTTAAATATACATTTATAGTTTTTCAGAAATAGTCACGTAGTAAACTTAAGATATTAAAAATCATTCATATAAGCTGACGGATCACATTAGCAATTTTTAAATGGGATTGGAGTGTTGGGTATGTTTTACATGTGCGAATGAGGCCCGAAGGAAGCAACTTTAGTTTCGTAAGGGGGGGGGGGGGGGGTGGGCAAAACCCAAAAATAAACAAATATGCTAGGAAAATTATTGGGCTTGGGGTAAAAAGCTGAGTGGAGTGGAGTGGAGTGGAGTCTTGTGGAGTCATGGAGTGGAGTCTGTATCATAACAGTACAGACAGTTTGAGAACAAAACAATTTCTTTTGCATATTACAATCTCTCCCCTGCAATGTCATTTTGGATTTGTGTAACAAGAATGATACAATGAACAAAAGAAATCAGTGCGACCAAAAAACTTTTGACCTTTAAATGTCAAACAGATATGCTTTTTTAAAAACAAAGACTTGGTAATACATTAACAACATCTAAACTAAGCTCAGATATATGACCTTGCTTGCCTATCCAAAACAGGCAAACCTAGTAAGAGGTGTTGACAGTTTTATAATGTCAACAGATAAAGAGTAAACAACTGCACTGCAGAACTGATGACAATTGAATTATAATGACACATGATTTAAGTACCATTTTTGGTTTTACTTTTTAAAGTGCATTCAACCCTCTTTGTTGATATTTGAAGGTCACTATTTTTTCTGTATCTCATTCCTCTTGCTTTGTTTATATTAACATACACATACACCTTTTACTGGAAAAATTGGGGGAAATCTGCTGCAGAATCTAGTTTTATAGCCTACATATGTACTTGTCAATTGGGTCTTTCAAAGTTACATGTCAGGGATTAATTTCTAGTATAAGAACTGATATAAAAAGGAAAATATTCATCGAAATAAATTCAACAGCTCATGTAGTTATTTTTAATTTTTTGAAGTACACATTGTGCATTTTAAATGATGATGCTCTATTCACTCTTAAAATTTTTACCTTTGTTTCTTGGAGAGGGGGCAGTATTAATTCCTACCTGAAATTAGTTTCACCAATATTTGAACAAAGAATTTTTTTTGCTTTGTAAGTGTGACTCAGAACAGAAATTATATATATGATTAGGTAATTCTAAAATATGCAGTTTATCAACCAGTACAAGCATCATTGATGCAGCTGTTTGTTATAAACAAAAATGAAGACTTTCTGACAGAATTAATTTAATTGGAGTATGAGAACTTTAAAAGAATGTCGATCCCCATAACGAGGTTCTGAAATATATTTGGTTACTCATTAATATTGTTTTATAAAGACGACTCAAGCAAGATGCTGTCAACTTCATTCAGTTATTAAAATAATTTACAAGGTTTGCTACAATGGACAAAATTTACAATTTTTTTTTAATATCATTATTTTATTTTGTATTTAATGTTGCTGAGACTGCCAATATTTACCTTAGGGAGTACAATATATATATTACCTAAAAGTTTTATTTTCAAAAAATCCTTGCAACATTTACCAGGGGCATGTTTAACAAAAGAACTTATTACTAAGATCAAACACCTTAGATGATAATATAATCTTGCAAAATCAATGATTCTGTTAAAAATTGCTTGCATAAAAATATCTATCTAAATTAATTTTTAAAAGGATTAAAATCATTTTCAAATCAATGTTAAAAAAAAAGTTAATCTCAAAATTATATTTTGGTCTTAGTCGTACACATGTAAGTTCTTTTATGAAACAGACCCAAGATGTCTTATAAGCATTATTTGCCATATTTCGAAGAATGTCTCAGAAGTTTTGCTACAAAGATGCCCATGGATTGAAATATTCAGAGATTTTATTGTCCATTAAAGAATCTGGTCTCAATTATCTGATCGTAAAGATGTGTTGCAAAATAAGTTACTTATATGTCTTATCAGTTATTATCCCCTCGCAACGGAGTTGGGAGTGTATGTAAGTTTGTCCTTACGTAATTTGCTTCGGTATAGATGTCGAATGCTGTCTTGATTTATAGATATGCTCTTTGCGAGGGGATGCTCCGCTTTGCGGTACCCTTGTTAAATGCTTTTTTTCACTACAGCCCATGTTGTTAAAAGTATAACCCAGTGGACATATCCTGAATAATGATGAATTTTTTTTATTAGGTTACAAGTACGTACATGTATGTGAACCGGTACTGTCGAACTTGAAAAAAATTATTGTGTATTAAATGTGTAATTATATTTTTTACTGTAATTCTTATAAAGATTCCAAATTGTAAACTATGCCCAACTGTAAATTTAGAATCTTTTTTTTCTGACAAAAACAAAACCAGCTATATTTAGTTCAGTCCATTTTAAAGCAAATTTGTTTTTACAAGCAACAAATGAGTAAGCATTTCTGGTGCATTAATTAAATCTGTCAAGACTTCTCGCCTGTTGGGATGGGAGTGGATGTGGGTCATTTAGTCTTCCATTGATGAGTTGACATTTGAAGGTCATGTGTTTTTTCATTTACTCAGTCATTCATTCATTTTATTGTCAAAATGGTTCATGCAACATGAACAAGTTTCTGACTAATTGTAACAAATATTCTGAAATCAGGAAGTTTCCAAGAGTCTGATCAGTGATCACAGACATCAGCTATAGCTGGGGCATACAGAAATGAGAGAGGAAAGGAGGGGGAATTGTGTTCAATGACAAGAATAATTTTGTTTTTAGCTCACCTGAGCCGAAGGCTCAGGTGAGCTTTTCTGATAACATTTTGTCCGTCGTCCGTCTGTCTGTCCGTCCGTCTGTAAACTTTTCACATTTTCGACTTCTTCTCCAGAACCACTGGGCCAATTTCAACCAAACTTGCCACAAAGCATCCTTGGGTAAAGGGGATTCAAGTTTGTTCAAATGAAGGGCCACACTCTCTTTAAAGGGGAGATAATTAAGAATTAGTGAAAATTTGGTGGTATCTTTTAAAAATCTTCTTCTCAAGAACCAAGGGGCTGCAAACGTTGAAACTTATGTGAAACCTTCATTACATAGTGTAGATTCAAGTTTGTTCAAATCATGACCCCCGGGGGTAGGGTGGGGTCACAATGGGGGATCAAATTTTACA